CTATTCTTAAGCCATTGTAACAAATCTTTCTGTCCCCTCTAAACTTTTTCTTCAAAAAGGTTGTAAAAACCAAGACAATTTTCAAAGAAAACAACTTGAATTTTGGCTCATTTATCAATTATTTTTTACGCATACAAAAGGGGTACAAAAGAGGGGTTTTTTTTAAAAAAATCTTTGAAAATTTTCTAGAATCTAAAAAAGTATTAAGTAAATGAACAACATAGAGTAGAAAATGGCCGAAAGCAGAAGAGCATTGGATACTCTGAGGTTAATTACTAAGAAATATTTTTGAGATAATAATTAATTTACATGAATTATTTCATACACAGTTAATGTTTAATTTTATTTTGTCTAAATAAATACAGGACGTCAGAATTTTAAATATCACAAGTATGTATTATTAGAGAACTAGGGCAAAGAGAAAAATTGTTGCAATGATGCTAGAAATCATTTAAAGATGAGTAAGACTGTTTTGTTTTAATCTTTATAAAATCCCTCCACCATGTACAAACAAGCCTCTACATTTAACACTTTTAAAATCAAAAACATTTTCGGGCAGTTTCCACAAACTAAATAGAATAACAGCACCGGCAGGAAATTGCTGATGACAAATTTATTCCTTACCATTGAGAAGTTATTCACAACAAATTTCCTGATTTCAATATTCTAGTCCTAAAGCAACAAAGGAAATCTTCTTCCTAGAAGGATTTATGTTATAAATGTGTTGAGAAGTCCAGGTCCTCTTCATGTTTACCATGTTACCATGTTACCACTACTGTCAGTAATCTCAAAGATGAAGATTTTGCCCAAAGCAAGCAGCAGAATACCTCAAATACACACAAGTTGATTTGATTATGATTAGTAGATACAACTTTAGTATTTAATGTTTTAGTGCTATAGTTATTGTTGTTTATATTGAAAAAAAACAAAGATTCCATCACGTATTATTTTACTTCTTCCAAAGATTTATTAGATAATGTTCACTTTCATTCTGCTTTCTTTTCCTAGTATTTATCATTTTTCTTTCTTCTTGGCAATTTCATAGGTAATTCCCTCTTTCCTTGGATAATCTTCAAGTAAATGAGTGTCAATTGATTTAAACATAAGGAGCAATCTTTTGTCTTGTTCTTTTTTTTAAAGTACTTCACTCTTGGGTTCCATTATGGATCTTTGCAAATTAATTCATATTTATATTTTCATATAAATATAATCATATGTATAATTTAAGAAAGTAGAAAAGAAATTTAAACGCTTATCTGGTGTATTCTTTCTTGAATCATTACTTAGTTTATACTATGAAAGTTATTGAAGAGTGACATTGATATCACAATACATTTTAACAAATTTATTACTTTGTACCACCGAAATTGTATTGTGGCGCGAAGTTTTCACTTTGGTGTTGTAGGTATTAGTAATAGTAATAAATATCAAAAATTCAAAAAATCATAATGATATAATGATATAATAACAAATAAGTAACACATGAAAAATACATTTTATACTTGCCTAAACAAGAAATCTCCCCAAAAAAAAAAAATTCTTTGTTTTAATCCAAAAAAAATTTTTCTCTTCAATAATTGTTAATTCTTCTTTCCTAATAAGTTTATTAAAAAAAATTTTTATAATTAAAAATCACCAATTAGATTAAAATTAAAAATTTTCCGATTTTTTTTAAAAAAAATTTTCTCGTTATATTATTATTATTATTAGCGTTTTGCATTAATCTTTTAGTTGCACAACAGATTATTGTCATTATTGTCATTATTTATTTTTAGTGCCTATATTGCATTCTCTTAAAACAATTGTTTTTGTATTAATAAACTTGATTTTTGTAATGCAACAAGGTGAAAGAGCGTCACATGAATTAATGGAAATTTTTCAGAGTAATGACGCTGTTTTCTGGCAATTCTTCTGTAAAGTGTGCGTTTTTAGTATGCAGATGTAAAATTTGACTGCGTCATACACATAAATTTTTACTGATAATTTCCAAATTCGGTTAGTATATCTATTCCACCGATACTTTTAGTTCTGCGATATCTGCATAGAAAACATATCAATACATGATTGATTATGTTCGTTCGATTTCGATTTCGAAAACCAGGATTCCAGCATTTCGATTAAATATGAAATCGAAATCGAAATTAAAATATATAGAAGTTTGAAATAAAAGTCTACCTTTTAAAAAATAGTGCACTTTGTTTCTCTCTACCTTTAATGAGATACTTTCGAATAAAGCAACAAAGACTAGGAAATATTTGACAAAACAAATGTTGTTGTTTCAATATAACGTTCCAAACCTGTTAAATAAAATTCGAGTCGTGGAAGAATTATTATATTTGGAAACTAGGAAGGTATTTATTTATTTATAAATCAATTTCGATTTTACTTTTGAATAGATTTCGATTTCGAAAGGGTATTTCAAGTGTATTTCGAGTTTCGAATTTTTTGAATCTCACCATCTATATATTTTATTTTTAGATCGTTTTAAGAATCTAAAATTTAAAAAATGACAGATCATTTTTCCTACAAGAAAAAAGTTTTATAGTTTTTCAAGAGTTATTATCATAAATTCGAGCCATAAAAAATTTGTTGCGTTTTGTAATATATATTATCAAAGTTTTGATTTACAATACAATTTGGCCATCTAAACCTATCTGACAACATTTCACGGATTCTCTATGATATTAAACGAAAGCCTACAACAAATAAATGTAACAGTCAAGGATGCGTCAATTTGTTGTTGTTGTTGACGTGAAGGCTCATTTGATCAACTTTAGATTGTCTGCTACTACTAACTTTTACATTTTTTGGTGTCATAATCATCAGGAATTTCAAGAAAGATATCCTGAGATATTATTTACAATTATAATGATCCTTATTGCGTTCATTTGCTAAATAAGAATGCAAGTTACCAAGTTTCACAAATGTTCATTTTTATTTCTTGACATTGAATAATTTGTCTGCCTCGATTAGAACCATTATTAGCAATCATTTCTAAAGAATTAGAATTGCAAATATATACAGTATTTATGATATTTACGGAATAGTTTGGTTACAAAGGGTATTTGCTACTAGAAATCTGTTTTACAGATGATACAAGTACGATAGGTGTAATCGTTTTATACAGAACAAAAGTGTTTCCAAATAGTCTATAAGGACTGATGGTGATGAATAAGCCATTCCAATCTTTTTGGAATTAATGTATGAGAATTACTATTATATGTGCAACTTGGACCCTGCGAGAGAAGATGGATGGTAAGTAAATGTAACATCAAAGTCATTATGAAAATAAGGAAGCGTGATTTTGGCAGGAATATTTAAAAAAATAGCACCTTCATCCTCTTATGATGACAGTTCATGATATTTACTATTTTTTCCATGACCAGTGAGTGAACTGACAAAGCAACTACCAGGGTGAATGTAGATGATCTTAAGAAGGCAATGAACAAAAGAAAGCTACTAGTGATCTTAAATATTTTCTTATCAGTTTTACTGCGAACGGACTTTGATGTTACAATTGTTTCCAATCTACAGAAATATCAAGTTATAGAGAGGTAATTAGACTATATGAATGTCTCAATTACTTCAATGTATGGATGATACTTAGTTGATGGTATTGAAGATTCAGGTAAAGATGTTGGTCACTACTCTACCAATACTACGAAATTTTATGAGTTTGGCAAGAAGCTTGTGAGCAGGCTTTACATGTCATCATTATCATATGAAAAAGTGTTGGAATTATGTGAGAAAATCTACTCGCAATTAATTATCAAAAGAATTATAAAATAGAGGTGTGCGTAGATTTGGTTTAAAAAATCTAAAGAAGAGATCGAAAAAAAAAATATGTCTGATAGCACCCTTACTTTCCTAATGAATTATGGATTTATGAACAAGGAATAAGGAAATCAATTAAAATAAGCTTTGCTGAAGAGCCAAACAAGCAAAAAAAGGAACCATTACAAGGTGACTAACATGAATGAAAATGATATTTTGCCTTATTACCATTATTGAAGAATTATCGATGGTGGTACAATGTGACTTTTTAATTTATATATATTCTAACCATTTATTACTATATTAATTGTTTCCATTTTCCCATGTACGTCAATGTGAATGTCAAAATGGTCTAATCTTATATACTTGATATATAATAACACTGAAAAGTACCGCGCACATACCTTTTTCTCGAAAGCGCACGAGTAATCACACGTAAAAAAAGGTAGCGAGTGCACTCGACATTATTACCTCCTGATTTTTGATTTTTAGTGTGTGTGTCAACTTTATTATTATTATATATACATTAAGGTTACTGCGTCAATGATCTACGCCCCAAATAAGTATTAACCTATTTTTATTTCTTTTTCTTTTCAAGACAGCAGCGCCTTCTATTTTCCTGTTTTTTTTTTAAAAAAAAATAAAATAAAAGAATTCTACTATGTCTATTTCTTCTATATTGAATACAAATAAACAAGGATACAACCAGAGGTTGACTTGTGGAAAATAGCATCCCATAATTAAAAGTGATTTTTGTTAGAGAAAAAAAAAACCTCAATAAGGATAAGTTTTGGGAAAACAATATGTCATTTCGTGACATCATCATTCTTTAGGAGATAGAAAACAATGTAATAATTATTATTTTATATTATCATATCAATATAGATATATCATATGTTCTGTACATATATTAAAGATATTAATTAAACTGTGAAAAAATTATTTATACTTTTCTAGATTAAATCAAACAAAACTATTATGATAAATGAATTATTTATTTAAATCATTAAAACTTTTTTACTGATTGCTTTTTCTTACTCCTCGTTATTATTTATCAACCTTTTACTGATCTATTTCTTTATCCTTGCATTTTAATTATTAACAAATACTGTTTTAAATTATCTCTTGTCTGCTTTTTTCGTCTGTTTTCTTATTTACATTGGTATAAAAACCACTTTACAAACAAATTAATTAAATCTATATATTTATTATATATATAATAAGCAATGAGTTTCTCCAAAAAAAATCTTGAAATGAGTAACCACAGCCCTTTGATTCATCTTGATAATAATACTGACAATAACAATAAATCATCATTTTATTCGAGTATGTCATTTTTTTTATATAAAACATGTAAAAAATAATTATTACAAAATATTCTAACTATAATTAAATTTAAAAAAATATTTTTTTTAAAAGACGAAGGGCTAAATAAAGAACCTAGTACTAGTGAATCAATGAATGACGACGAAGTCTACAACAATTATAACCGTCAACTTAATAATAATAATAATAATAATAATAATAATCATAAAAATGATGATAATGATATTAATGGTGTTAATCGTGTTGAAAGCTATAATGATAATATTAGTAACGATGGAAGTTTTATTGACACTGATAATGATGACAGAGCTGTTAAAACTAAAATTATTGATAAAAACACGAGAAATGATACTTTCGACAAGACAAACGATGGTAAAAATATCAAGATCAATAATTGTATTAATGACAATACTACTACCGGTAACGATCATTTTGATACTGCTACCAAAGCCGACAATATCAGCAACAATATCAGCAACATCAACGACGACCACGAGAACCTCTACAACGTTAACGATGGTAATATCAAAAATGCTGACAGAATTCACAGTAGCAGCAATAACAATATCGATAATGATAATGACGTCATCAATAACAGTTTAGGAAATGTACTTCATAGAGATAAGGAAGTTGAAAAAATCATTCTTTCTAAGGATGGTAATATCGATGCTTCTATCAAAAACAGTCGTGATGATAACATAATTCTTGGTAGAAGCAATAACAATACTAATAATGATAATAAGAGCTTAAACAAAAACAGTTTAGGAAATGAATTTCTAAAAAAGGAAAATGTTGAAAAAATTCTTTCTGTTCAAAATATATCAGAACCAACGACGAATTCAAATCATCATCAACATTCTTCTTTAACTGATGATAATTTTACCACAACAAATAATACAAATAATACAAATGATACAAATGATACAAATGATACAAATGATACAAATAATACAAATAATAATAATAGTAATAATAATGACAATAGTGATTTTGATTATATTACTAGTGATAATAATGTCACTACTAATCAAACAACAATCAATGAGGAACAAAATCATCCTGTTAATAATCAACCAATTGAATTAGCTATGAAACTAGACAGCAGCAATGATAGTAATACCAAGGATGATAATAATAATGACGATTATAAGGAATATCAAGATAACTATGGTTATAACGATACTAGTATTAGCAGTAGCAGCCGAAAAAACAAAAATACTAATACTAATGCTCCAATTACTCCTCCTCTTACTACTTATGATGAAAATATTGATGATACTAATGATAGTAATGACAATAATAATAAAAAACAAGAAAATGATGCTACTCAAGTAGATGTTAACGATGATGGTGTTTTTCATGATCATGATAATAATTACCAACAAGATAATACTACCAATAATCAAACAGACGATACTATTGGTTGTACCAATTATAAACCAACAATTGAGTTAATTATAGCGAGCAGTGACGATGACGATAAAAGCAACAACAACAATAAAAGTTCTAATACTAATAACACTAATAATAACCAGCAAGGTAATAATCAAAGCTCTCGTACTTCACCAATTACTGATAATAATGAAATGATGTCAACGAAATTGGATGTTAAGATTCAAGATGATGATGATAATGATAACAAATCTATAACTGTTGAATCAACTGATCAACAAGATAATAATAATAGTAATGCACAAGAGAATGATTCAGAAATTATCTCATCTACTGATAATGTTAATAATCATAATAATAACACGTCAGCAACAGAATCAGAAGTTGATGATAATGGATCTATCACTCCCGCCACTACTACCCTTATTACTAAAAATAATAATAACGACAGAGAATCAATTGAAGCTGTCAACGAGGATGATGGTAGTTCTAACGATAGCGATACTGGTAACAACCAACAAGATAGTCAAGATGATAAACCAGAAATTATTGTTACTAATATTGGATCTTCTGATAATGATGATGATAATGCTCAATCAACGATAGAAGAGTTGTCACCATCATCTGAAATTGTTGATAAAAAATTCAACGATGATAATAATACTACTACTACCTATGATTCTAATAGTTTCACTGACGATAATCAAAATCAAAACATTGATGACGATCAAACAGAAGAAGCAACAACTGCTCATCTACATCCTCCTCTTTCTTCTTATCATCATCACCCTACCAAAACTGTTTTAACTGAAATTGCTGATGATTATCAACATAATAACCCTGAATCTAATGAATCTACCGATATTGATCAAAATATTGATGGTGATGAATATAATGAAGGAGAAAGAAAAGATGAAGAGGAGGAGGAATCGTCAAGATCCATTACACCAGTTGATTCCACAGATTATTCAGATCAATCATCACCAAGAAAATTTACCAAAGAATCTGTTGATTTTTACAAAGAAATACCAAAATCAAATCAAATTAATAAAAATAAAAATAAATACCACAATAATAATAAAATTTCTAAAAATAACAATACTCGATCAATTGGCGGTAACGTTTGCGGAAAGGAGGTAGTAGATAATAACAACAATCAACAACGACAGCAAAAACAACAAGATCCTTTGGTTTTAATAATTTCTATAATTCTGTTATTAAGTGTTATCTTTTGGCCTTTTACTTTAATCTCAATATTTCTCTTGTTCATTACCTCTTTTTTTCTTGGACCACCTATTCTTTTTATTGTGTATTTAAAAAATCGTTTCTATAACAAAAATATAATTAAATAAGAGCTTGAAATGCGGGTGACAATCAAATCATAAGCCATCTTCATGTTGGTAGGTTTCTAATCTACACAACTTGAATGATTTATTATATTATGTAGATTTATTGGGGAATACTTATTTTTATAGATTTATAATAATTTACAATCAATTTATTGTTATTTTTTAATATATATTATATAAATGACTAACATTTTTATATAGAAAAGTATATATAATAAATTTTATCCTGTTATATTCTTTCGTTTTATTTACAACTTGCAAAAATTTTGTCCGTTTTGTATAAAGTTTATTAACGCGCTGATGCCAAAATTTCGCGAGTCGGGAGAAAATTTAATGTTTAATAAATAAATAATAGTAATAAGTATATAATCGTTGTACCGATTTTTTTCTTTACAATGAATTTTCAGCAAGTTTAACATTAGCCGATGGACATGTGAAAATATAGTTGAACATTACAAGAATATTGAACCACGCATGGTCTACTCTTAAGAAAGTATTAGACAGGATAAAAAGATCTAGAAGGCATTGTCAACTCTAAAAAGGATCATCAATTGTAGTAAGATGGTAGAATGAGGGGGGTAAAGTCTCAATTTGCAAGGCCGAAGAAGGAATTAAGTTCGGATATAGCGGTAAGCTAGAACACTGCTAATCGACTGGTTATAAACTGCTCGTTTGACGCACATCCCAATTCTTTCAACGGCAAGCTGGAGCACTGGGTTACGAACTGCACGTTCGACACTCACCTCCTAGTTTTATATTATATATTATGTTTTTTTTTTTAAAGGAATGAACTAATTGGTAATTTGTGAAGATGTACTTTTCCAGAATTTAATTATGGAAAAAGGAAACTGAACAAGTTGTAAACTCGATTGATGTAATCCAAGGGTTCATTGTCAACTCTCAGACCGATATGAAAAACCGTTTATTTGAAAATCAACAACAAAGTAATACAGTGCAGAAGAAGGTATGAGCAGAACTGTTTAATTGAATCATCAGGTTTATAATAATACTTTATTAATGCATAGAAAACAAACTTAACAAAAATGCTTACCTTTACAACCAAAATTTTTTATGGGTTGTCGACTAGACTAATCTTTGGCTTTCTACTATGTTGTCAACCTGTAAAAATTAGCTTTATAATATCAACCAAAAGATCGATAAACCTAGAGAAAAAGTGTAATGCGAGTAGAAAATTTAGTCCCCCCGTCTGAAATTTTCCTTCGGGAATCGAAAGTCAAATTAATCTCTCCACACAAGAATTAACTTAGAATTAAATGATACTAGTATTCTAATAGTATAATACTTCTATTATTTATTACTAATCAACAAATAATAAAAAATAGTCAAATTCAGGAGCTTAAATTTTTTCGAACCAAAAAAATTAAAATGTTAGACTAAAGAACAAACAAGATTCAAGAAGGTTTGATGAGGAAATGTTTCCTTTTCTTCACTTGCCGAAAATAAATGCGATGCAATTGAAGAATGTGACGAAGTTGACTATTATGGTGTAGACAGAATTCGCCTAAACCAATGGATAATAATGATACTTATGTCTCAGAAATTGTATCTAAAGTATGACCAAATGGTAACCCTTCAAAGAATTTAATGTATATATAATGACGGTTGTGAGTTTGTTTTTAGATCCTAAATGGCATTGAAATGAAGGATGAGAATGTAGTTATGAGAATGCAAAAGTTTGAAGTCATTATTCTCTACACAGATTACATATATAATTTAACTAAAAAAATATATTATAAAGATATTGATGATGATGGAATAATAATAGCACAAAAGAACCTGCAGAAGGTTTAATGGATTCTAGAAAAATCTTTAATTTAGAATTACAGAATAATAGTTTCGTTTACATGTAAATAAATTTACATATATTTATAAATAAAAATAAAAATATCCTTTTATAATTGCTTAATATAAATCTTATTGTAGAGATAAAATAACATATTGATAAACTTATAAATTTGTTAAGATAACATCATTTTTATTCATTTTAATCTCCTGATGATGAAACTAATAACTGAATTTACAAGAATTATATATGATTGTTAATAATTAAAAGAGTTGTTCTATCTTTGGGTTTCATATTCTGGTGCTTTATTGCTAAAATTACCTTCACTAACTACCCAAACCTCAATTAATCATATAGCAATGATGTATTTGGTTATTTTATTAATAAATATAATTTATAGACAAATTGCTAGTAATTTAATTAAACTATATATTAATATAATACCATGCAATATTCTTAAAAATTTTCATATTTTCTAATAAAATCATTTGAAGACTCCTTGTTGCTAAAAATTTTTAAAAAATAAGGGTGATTATTGTGAGCAATTGAATAAAAATTCTAGAAATGCAAAAGTCTAAAAGTATCCTACCAAAATGTTTTCCCACACTTCTTCAGCAGTAAGACGCCAGTTAAAATACCGAAAATTCCTATTTAATAAAAATGGACACTTAACATTTTTGTGAATTCTACGATATAGATGGACTTCATAATACTAGTACCTAATTTCAGCAGTAAGATTAGATCCAATTAGCAGTGGTTCAGTATTGAATAGAACCTTTTGTATTTGTACTTCCTGGATGCCATAGAATCCGACCCATAAACCATCTATGTAGAAGTCTAATCTCTTTTCAGAATCAGAAAGGGTGTAACTTATATGGTACCATTTATTCAACGAAAGCTCAGTAGCAGCAATCTCATCAATTCCAATAGTCCAACCCCAGTTACTTGTGAAACGAGGATGCAGTTTATTGTTTGGTGTCAACCAGAGTCCAGGAGTACAGGTGGAATGATCAGTTCCTAAAGGTGTGTATATTTTATTCAGTTTGAAAAGCGTCAGTTTACACTGGTAAAAGAAAATAAATTAAACAATAGTTAAACGCTTGTTGAAGTGTATAGAAAATTGTATATCTTAACAAATGTTTAACCTAAGTCAAATTCGATTTTTTTACTAATGTTGGACAACTAAATAATGCATTCTTGGGACGTCCAGAACTCATTCTTGCAAAAACCAACCTTTATGAAAGATTTTGGCCCAATCAGAATTAACGCTTTTAAGTTTCAGATGTAGAGTCACTGAAAGCTCATCCTTCACTGTGGGCAATTCAGCATGTTGCACGATTTTGTTTTCAGGAACAGTTATGGAAATGGTGTCTGATATTTCATAAAACTCTTTTACAACTTTTTTCATTTTCTGAAAACAGCAGATTGATCATCAAATAATTCACAGGGTCTTTTTTATATATAATGCAAAATAAAAGTTACTGAATACAACGTCGGGGTGGTCGATCAAATATATAAATAGAAACTTTTAATAAGCAAATTCGCCTTCACATTCTCCTAATAAAATCATTTAAAGGCTCCTTGTTGCTAAAAATAAGGATGACTATTGTGAGCAAATGAATAAAAATTCTAGAAATGCAAAAGTCTAAAAGTATCCTACCAAAATGTTTTCCCCCACTTCTTCAGGAGTAAGACGCCAGTTAAAATACCGAAAATTCCTATTTAATAAAAATGGACATTTAACATTTTTGTGATTTCTACAATATAGATTGGCTTAATACTAGTACCTAATTTCAGCAGTAAGATTAGATCCAATTACCAGTTCTTCAGTATTGAACAGAACCTTTTGTGTTTGAACTTCCTGGATGCCATAGAATCCGACCCATAAACCATCTATGTAGATGTCTAGTCTCTTTTCAGAATCAGAAAGGGTGTAACTTATATGGTACCATTTATTCAATGAAAGCTCAGTAGCAACAATCTCATCAATTCCAACAGTCCAACACCAGTTACTTGTGAAACGAGGATGCAGTTTATTGTTTGGTTTCAACCAGAGTCCAGGAGTACAGGTGGAATTGTGAATTCCTAAAGGCGTGTATATTTTATTCAGTTTGAAAAGCGTCAGTTTACACTGGTAAAAATAAATAAATTAAACGCTTGTTGAAGTGTATAGAAAATTGTATATCTTAACAAATGTTTAACCTAAGTCAATTCGATTTTTTTACTAGTGTTGGACAACTAAATAATGCATTCTTGGGACGTCCAGAACTCATTCTTGCAAAAACCAACCTTTATGAAAAATTGTGACCCAATCAGAATTAAAACTTTTAAATTTCAGATGTAGAGTCACTGAAAGCTCATCCTTCACCGTGGGCAATTCAGCATGTTGCACGATTTTGTTTTCGGGAGCAGTTATGGAAATGGTGTCTGATATTTCATAAAACTCTTTTACAACTTTTTTCATTTTCTGAAAACAGCAGATTGATCATCAAATAATTCACAGGGTCTTTTTTATATATAATGCAAAATAAAAGTTACTGAATACAACGTCGGGGTGGTCGATCAAATATATAAATAGAAACTTTTAATAAGCAAATTCGCCTTCACATTCTCCTAATAAAATCATTTAAAGGCTCCTTGTTGCTAAAAATAAGGATGACTATTGTGAGCAAATGAATAAAAATTCTAGAAATGCAAAAGTCTAAAAGTATCCTACCAAAATGTTTTCCCCCACTTCTTCAGGAGTAAGACGCCAGTTAAAATACCGAAAATTCCTATTTAATAAAAATGGACATTTAACATTTTTGTGATTTCTACAATATAGATTGGCTTAATACTAGTACCTAATTTCAGCAGTAAGATTAGATCCAATTACCAGTTCTTCAGTATTGAACAGAACCTTTTGTGTTTGAACTTCCTGGATGCCATAGAATCCGACCCATAAACCATCTATGTAGATGTCTAGTCTCTTTTCAGAATCAGAAAGGGTGTAACTTATATGGTACCATTTATTCAATGAAAGTTCAGTAGCAAGCTCATCAATTCCAGCATTCCAATTCCAGTTACCTGTGAAACGAGGATGCAGTTTATTATTTGATGTCAACCAGAGACCAGGAGTACGGGTGGAACCGTAAATTCCTAAAGGTGTGTATATTTTATTCAGTTTGAAAAGCGCCAGTTTACACTGGTAAAAGAAAATAAATTAAACAATAGTTACAACGCTTGTTGAGATGACAGAAAACTGTACATCTTAACAAATGTTTAACCCAAGTCAAATTCGATTTTTTTTACCAGTGTTAGACAACTAAATAATGCATTCTTGGGGATGTTCAGAACTCATTCTTGCAAAAACCAACCTTTACGAAAGATGCAGGGCCAATCAGAACTAATACTTTTAAGTTTCAGATATAGAGTCACTGAAAGCTCGTTCTTCACCGTGGGCAATTCAGCATGTTGCACAATTTTGTTTTCGGAAGCAGTTAGGGAAATGGTGTCTGATATTTCATAAAACTCTTTTACAATTACAATTTTCTTCATTTCTGAAACAGCAGATTGATCATCAAAATAACTGATCAAATATATATATAAATAGAAACTTTTAATAGGCAATTCGCCCTCGCATTTTCCTAATAAACCTCCATGTGTACTCATGGCCTATTACTATATTTTAAAACTAAACGATTATTTTTTTGATTCTTTGTTTATCAAAAAGTTTTACTATGTTAGCGACTTAATTGAAAAATTATGGTTCAAATTTCATTCAATGCTATTTTTATGTCTGTAGCTAAAAATTTAGTGGTATCAGCCGTTAAAACCTTGGCTGGCTGGCCAAGACAGCTAAGGACTTGTATAAATCTTTTATCTTGGATAAATAATATATATTTATATCAAAAATCAATTATTTATTATCAAAAATCTAATAAGATCATTCAAAAGGTTTTGAATTTTCTTTTAAAATAGAAGATTATGAATACTATTTTACCAAGTCTTTTTTCTTGTATATAATACATTCCCAGCTGATAAAACAACCTCTCAGATGGCGCTGAACTTGGCGGTACTGCTAAGTAAATTCTTGCTTGCACAGCAAGACTTGGTAAAACTACTTTTTTTTTTGATTTTACTAAACAAGTGGATAAACTTTTCCATTCCTGATTTTAAGCAATCGAAATAAAAAGTTAGCTAATAAAATTCTCAACTGTTTGATATCAAAAAGATACATTTATCTTTGTTAAAAAACAAGACTTCTGAATTTTTTTACAAAAAAAGAAAATCAGCCGGCTAAGTCAAATCAGCTTCATCACGATAAAAATTTATTGTGTCCTTGTTAGCAATTTTACAAATAATAATAGGAGTAATGCTATAAGTAATAATATTTAAAAATTTTTTTTTTTTTTTTGAATAATCATTATTATGTATATTCATCATTCGGATAAATAGATTATAACCACAATAGAAAGTCATTTTGGCTATTATGGCATTATTGCGTCTTTTTATGCATTTATATTTGGGAAGTTACTTTTCTTTTTTAGTGTTTCCATAATTTGCTCACTTATTTCAAAAAATTTTTAGGAAATGATTTAATCACTGCATGTTCAAAAGACACCAATACCAGAAGATCTACCATCTGACACAGAACTAACATTTTAAAAGAAATTCTACCATCTGGGGAGAATAATACGAACAAAAACTAATTAACATTACTAGGATCTAATGTAAATTAAAGAATAAAACATCATATTAAGTGATTAGTGTATCCATCATCTAAATCGATTATATTGTAAATTAAACAAACCAAAAAAAATTTAAAATCTTCCTTAAAATATCTACGATGTAAACATAAATATATCTGACATATGTTCATTTTCATGTTCATGAGATACACTACATAAAGTTTTTGTAATGTAAGCTTGAAATAACAAGGCGTGCTAAGTTTTAGACTAAATAATGCAAGTTTATTACGATTTTACAATTCTATAACTACTTCAATGATACTACTATAGCCAAACCTTGTCGCAGAGGATGAACGGGGCACATAAGAAATTTTATTTAAAATCCGTCGTTATTGTGGCAAGATTAGTTTCCATGCCGGATTTTTATTATATTAATATTAATATTATTATTTGTTATTATGACAAGAATTTAATTATAGTCCGTTGTGGCAAGATCTGCCATGACAAGGTTCGACCGTATTGTCATCCTACTTCTCAAGAGTTAATTATTCGGAACATTGATCCTCAAATCCGTATAATAAAGGGAAAAGGTGCCGAGTTTTGTATTTATATTTATTCAATATTATTATCAAACAAACTCCAATTACACAAAACTGATATCTCAACCGTCTATAAATATAAAGCTACACACTTTTTATTACTTTTGGCAGAAACGCGAGTTGATAATTGTGTCTTATTACAATACGCAAAACTATCGACCTTTTTTCAACAATTTACAATTTTAAAAGCGAACATTTAATTTGAATATTTACGATTCGTTTACCGGATAAATAAATAAATATTTAAACAGTGTTTCATTTGTAAAGTCAATCCCCATCGTCTGACGTCAATGAAAAGGTTATGTGACTATAAATGGCAAAATTATGGGCAATAATAATAACTATGAACCAATCTGCTGTACTAAACCAACCATGTAAAAAAAACTGATCCGTGATTTAAAAATTCCATGTTTTCTCCAGAAATGTTCATATTCATGGAAAAAATCATTGAAAGATTACAGGGAAAGATAGACTTTGTCACGGTTGCAAATCATGGAAATTTTCATCAAATAATGGATTATTCATTGGATTTTTGGTTTTCCAATAGTAAATTGGAGAATGAATATTTATTAATAGAATAAATGTCACTTGTTGAAAAAATATAAAAAATAAATATAAAAATAAATAAAAGAATTTTTTTTACCCCCCCCCAAAAAAAAATTAATGTATTCCCACTAAGCGATAAATCTCTAGTTCTTCTATTAAATGAACTTCTTTGTCATTATTTCTAAGATTCAAGCCACATTCGTAAGAATAATTTTGGAAATTATAATAACAATAGGCTTCAGTTTCACTAAAATTATACACTCGTAAATCACAAAAATTAATAGAACCTTCTTTAAACACCATATCGTCCGAACTATGCTTAAAAGTTGGCTTAGAATGATACATTGCATATTTAGAATTTCTAATTCGACTTATGGTTGAATTATTTATTTGATTTTTGTCAATCTTAAAAATGAAGCTTTTGTCCGATTCAATCGAATAACCTTCAACTTCATCTCTTTCATCAAGATTCCAAGTAACAGGATTATATCCTCCTACTAATTCGTTTGTTTCTTTGAGTTTAATAATCGAAACGGTTTTTTCAATATCATAGCACTTTTCTTCGAAAACAAATCTAGAAAATTCATCCCTGATCCCAGAAAAAATTAATTTGAACTTACCTTTTATGAATGAAAAATCATGTATATATATTGTGGGTACTCGAGAATATCCGAAAACATATGAATCGTCAAATATGCCGAATATATCGAATAATTGGATCTCTCTTTTTTTTAAAATAGAAAATAAAAAACTTAATCCGATGTATCTGAGCGCATTTTATCCGATTGGTATTATCTTCTAACTGCAAAAAAAAAAGTCAAAGATTATTATTATTGCGACATGGGAATTTGTTTGTTTACTGCCTGAATTGATTGATAAAATTCATTCACTCATTCATTCATATACATTCATATACATATACATATATTCGATTCATATCCACCCATATAACTTTATTTAGCCTCATTCTGTTGAAACAATTAAATTAAAGAACAATAAAGACCTGAGTTGCTTCTTAATGAAGTTTGTAAGTAAATTTCAATTGGCACTCACCTGTTATCATGCTACCTGAT